ACGTCACTCATGATAAAGAGAGGAACAGAAAGAAAAAATTTTGACCAACGAGATGTATGAATATATTATAATTTCGACATTACTCTTGTCATCATATAGGTGTCAAATGAATGATTGGATTAGATTATTATTCACTTGCTTTTAGTTCTTACTATCGTTGTTTAAATGATTATAATATGTAAAATAAATAGAATAAGATTTATTTAAATATTGAAATATGTTGATCGAAATTCTTTTCTTTGTTATGATTCTAATAGTCGACTACAGGCGTCATCTGGCTTTAACTATTCAGCTGATGAGTAATGTACCTACTGTTTGAACTTACATAGGGACATTTACGTAAGATTAGAAAAAGTCTAAAAGGCTTCGTCTCCATTGATTTTTGAAAACAAGAATATGAATGCCGCGGATCTGACGCAGTACCATCTCAAATCTCAAATTCAGTATAGCGGCTGTAACTTTCTGTTCTAAAGATCCATGGGGACGAACCAAAGAGGAAAAAGCGAAAACTGTGTACTTTAAGAGTGCATCAAAACTATCTTTGAGAGGTTTCGTGTTTAACCTCTCAAGGCTAGTTTTGATGCACTCTTACAGTACAGAGTTTTCGCATTTTTTTCTCCTTGAAACAAATATTTTTATTGGGATGTGACATAAATTCCGAGACATTTCGAATACTCTTGCAAAAATCACTTCATTTTTTCTGACATTGCATCATATCAAGTATTGAATTACGTAATATGAAGGAAAAGGGTAATATCAAGTTTATTGACTTGAGAGAACAGAACCGAACAAAGACTACTGACAAATAATATAAAGAACGCACAGCATATATATATATATATGTGTACACAGTAACACAATGAATATTCCACAGAACGAAAAAAAAAATATACCACGCAAAAAAAAAAGAAAAATGACGAAACTTAATGTCTCTGCATTACATATCATGACTTGACTAATATGAATCACATATTGAATTTTGTATGAAAAGGTCTATATCAGGTTTATTAAGTTGAGAGAATATAAATAAAGGAGATAGCGTTTACTTGTTGTAAATACAATAGATGACGGTAAAAATTCATATTCGTCATTGTATGCTGTATGAGTTTAATCGAGGGCCAACGGTAGCGGCAGTAATAAGGAATACTTGTGCTGCATGTGGTGAAAAAGCTACCAACGACTCTACGTATTATCGTTGGTTTGTCAAGTTCCATTCCGGGGATATCACCTTGACGGATAAAGCTCGCTCAGGACAACCTATGAAGTTTGCTGACGAAGTGTCGGAGACTTTTCTTCATGTTAGTCCACGTCAAACAACCCGTGAATTGGTCGCGCAACTCAACTGTTCTCCTGTGACAGTGGATCGTCATCTTTAGGCTCTAGGCAAGGTTCATAAGTAAGGACACTGAGTTCTATGGCAATAATCTATTTTTGAAACGAATCATTATTTGAGATGAAAAATATATATGCTACGTCAACTTTCATCATAGAAAGTAGAGTAACGCGATCTTGGCCAGAAACTATTACCGAAGATAAAAGCAGATTTACATTCAAAGAAGATAATGTTGTGCGCCTAATGGGGTATGCAGTGTGTTATCTATTTTGAGCTCTTAAATACCAATCAAATAGTTACCGCCGATGTTTACTTTCAACAGTTGCAGCATTTGCATAAAGCTCTACTTCAAAAGCGATCGGTCTTCGCAAATCAGAATAACATTATTCTCTTGCATGACAATGTAAGAGTACATGTCGCAAATTTGACTCAAAATAAAATTAGACAATTGAGATAGGAAGTTCTTGAGCATATATCGTACTCACCAGACCTTGCACTATCCAATTATCATTTGTTTCGATCTTGTCGAAACCATTTGTGCAACGAATAATGCGAAGACTTGCATGAGGTCAAATCTGACCTACAAACGTACGATTGAACAATTGCCAGTAAGATGTGCGAAGGTTGTCGGAAAATAATTTTTTTTTTGAATAGAAAAAAATTCTTAGAACTTATTATGTTACAACCTAATAGGTTTTTCTTAGTCTTTAAATAATTATTTACTCAAAAGTAATGACAAGAAGATCTTGTTTAAGTGTATTCTATATGAAGATAAATTCATTTGTTTTTTTGGTACAACTATTAAACGTTCCAAAAAGAAAAAAAGAATCAATTTTTACTAGTTATTGAAGTAGTTAATTTCAAAAGAATTTATCGAACTATATGTTCGATGACAATCGAAATTTTTGTTGATTTTTTTAAATTCCTATCATTTTCTATTTTTGTTTTAATATATTCAATTTAATTGAATAAATCAATCTTGAAACTTTTCATCAAAAGTTGATTTATTCATGATTGAGTCACATCAATCGGTTCGCTGTAGAGTACATAATATTATAAGATGAGTTGGCATGTTTTGTCCTATGTTTACCGCTGACAATCATCATGACATGCAAATCTAATCTGAAATCTTAGTACTTTTTTTTTCTTATCTATGTAAATGTCGAGTCATGTCTAGGGATGCAATGGTGAAGAGATAGTGCTCTTAAATTTATTTGGACTCTTTTGGTCAGAGAAGGTCTATTTCAAGAATTTGATAAAACATGACTGAATCGCAAGAGCGCAACCCTTCTCGAATAAGAAAAACGATTGGCTATAGAAAGGTCGAAAAGGAAAAATATGGAAACTAGAAAAATATTCGAAAAAAAAAGTGATGTCTTAGGTACATGTTGATACTAATCTTGTATAGTTTATCATTGGTACAAGAGCAAAACAATTGCTATACAACGTTGTCTAGATAATCTTCGTGAACGATATTATACTGGTTTTATAAATATAATAGAATATTTAGATAGTTTTTCATTTATCATTGTTTAATTGGAAAAAATAACATTACTATTTCTTTTATCTTCTGATATCTGTATGATCTATGTCAAAAATAAAGAATATTTTGTAGGTAAAATTTTCGATATTTTTCTTTTTTATATCAGAAAATTGAGCTCGAGAATTCCGACAAGCTTTCTATAGATTCGGATTCTTGAACCTTGAAAACTTTTAGTTTATGTTATATATAATAGACGAGTGAGAATTATTCTTTCAATCATTATACACATATAACTACTTGATATCTTTCTTTTTTATCTGCTCTTCGTCGATTTTGTCTTTTATTAATATATCGACTCGTTCGTTTTCTTTTCTCTATGAATTTAAGGACATATTTTTTCTATATATCTTCTAACAAAGAAGAAGATCATTCTGGATTTTACTTTTTCTTCTTATTGTATAAATTCTCAGTTTTTACTGAATAAACTATTCGTTCTTTTCATTTTGCGTCTGGTTCAAAAAGTACATCATATCTAACTGTTTATTTTTTTATAAAGTTCAGCTAGTTTCGTGAAATAGTCTTCGCAACCGAGAAAAAAAAAATCGAAATCAATCCAAGATCATCAAAAGTTTCATCATATGTTCACCATTAGTCTATATGTACATGTTAAGACTAGTGCAAAGTTGTACGTAAAATTAATGCACCGGTGAACAGTGCGTCCGTGGACCGATGTACGAAATGTTTTCTTCTTTTTACAGCACTTTCCAACATAGTAAAAATCTCGTTTTAGACTCACTCGATAGAGAATTTTCTGTTGTTTTTTTTTTTGTCGCCACAAAATTTAAACGATGAATATCTACTCAATCATTTAACTGCGACGATCTAAACAAAGAAAAAATTTATCATAAGAATTTTGCTGAAATTTCAAATATGCTATAAAGTTCTCTACAAAATACTCTATATTTTTACATATGTTTCAAGATTTTGAAATAAAAAATCTGAAGCAAAGTCTTACATAAATCGATAGATGCCTGTAGAAAATCTAAAAATCACTATTCGACAATCAAGTAGTTCTCCTTACTTTAAATTTTGTGTCGACAACAAAAACAAAAAAGAAAATAATTTTATAGAGCAGAAAATTCTCTTTCGAACGAGTCTAAAGCAATGTGTCTAATGTATTGGGAAATATCCTACAAAAAGTGGAAAATATTTTATCTCGTTAATTATGCGTCGCTAGGGGAAAATAGCATACTCTGCACTTCTTTATACTTCTCGACATGCATATTTGCTTCTATGTAGTTTTAGAAATTTCTTTTACTCGAGGGATATAAGAAAAATATAGTCAGCTTCTCTTTATAATATAGATTTTCATTTAAAAAAAAAAGCAACAAATAATAAAAGCAGAACTTATAGTAGAAGACGAAGTACCAAACCTTTTTCTACTATTATTTTTCTTTGCATTTAAATGTTCACAAAGAGAAGAATGTCACGCTATATTAGCAAACAATTAAATAAAATAGTATTTATATATATATTTCTGTCTTTTTTGTTAAAAAACACATACAGGGCATCGTATCTGGTGTGAGTGTTGCGAAAAAATGAACACAAATGATCACGCACATATCTAATATCTCTCGTGTCTTCTATTCGAGTACTTAATTGAGTTTCTTAGGAAATCCTGAAAAAAAACGCGTAATCATCTTAAACTAACAAAACCTGTCTTATCATCTTCCTGTAAACATTTCTATACTTCTCGATACTTTAGAAGTATGCTTTTTTCCTCCGTGATGCATTTTACATGGAGTTAATTCTTATAATTTTGAACATTTTATGAAAAACTTGCAGCAATATTATCTCGATATAATTCTTTTGTCAAGAAAATAGTTAAATTGAAATATACATTTCAAAAACTGATTCTTTTGTTTTATTATTTTCGACACAAATATATCAATGGATAACGGTATCTTACTAAGTGAAACTCTTTCATTTTGTTGTCAAGCAATAGGATAAAAATTCGTATTACTTTCATCAATATCCACATAGAGATACAATATACAACAAAACATAAACAAGAAAAAAAAGTTACATATACAAAAAAAAAAGAAAAAAGAAAAACAAAACAAAACTATTTCTTACACACCTGAATGATACTTAAATATATAAAACATAAGATATTATTAAAAATTAAATATGTTCAGTTTTCACCGTCGTTATTTCTTCTTTTTCTATATCAGATTTATTATTTATTGTCGAATTTCCTATTGTTATTGCTTCAGTTATAGTTGGTGATGATACACTAAGATATGGTGTATCTTCTGTTGTATCATTATTTATTCGTGTAATATTATTAATTGAAGTTTCTGTTTGATGATTTAGAGAAATATTTAAATCATGTTTTGAAAATGAATTTCGATATAATTGTGGATTATCATGAAATTTTCGTTTTAAATCAGGTCCACATAATTTTTGATGTAAATCCCAATCACGATGTTGACAATATTGACCACAATAACGAGCTATATTACAACCAGAACATGTTTCAATAGCTCGACGACCACAATGCCAACATTGCTAAAATAAATAGAAATAAAAATTGTTGTTGTTATTATGTTTCTTTTCTTTAATATTTTACTTCTGGTCCATCTTCTTGTCGATTAAGTAATGCATATGCTTCTTCAAATGTTTGTGCTTTTAATTCTTGATTTAATCGTTGATATTGTTCACGTTCACGAAGTAATATTTCATTAGATTTTTGTTCGGTTTGTGAAACAGCTTTTTGTAAATCAATTATTGATTGACGTTTTATTTCAAGTACAGCTTCTTCTAAATAAGATAAATAAATAAAAGCCAATTTATTCATTTAATATATTAAATAAACAAATGTAATAGGACCTCTTCAGAGAAGATTAGTGGATTTGATCTCTTCTTTCAAGAAAGATTCCTCGTATAAGACAAAGATCTTCATCTGGAAATGAAAAATTAGAGAAGACGAGTTTTTGAATGTCTATTAGATGAAATACAGTTAGTATTCTGATATACTTTAACGGAAAAAAGTTAAATGACAAAGCAGAAATGTTTCACAAAAAAAAAAGAAGATATTGCATGGTGAGCTTCTTGTTTACGATGGAGGATTTTCGTAGATTCTAGAGTTAATCTAGCTTATGCTTCTTCATTTGTAAGAAAGAGTTCCCGTTTTAATTCATTGACAATATATAATCCAATATTTATTTGTATAAAACTCAATGTTTCTTCAAGAATGTATTCTAGATCTGTTTAATTGAGAATATATTATTATTAACTACAGGTTTTGAACAAAAAATAACGTGACGCGCTGCTTAAATCTATCAATACAATGGAAGAAGAAAAGTATTTGAGTCTACCCCAGCCTATGAAACATGAATCTATGGCAAGCTTTCGTTTTTCGAAGCTTTGTGATTCTATCGCTTATGGTTATCGAACATAAGTTGGTAGTAGATAAAATGTGGATTGACAGTAATGGAATATTTTTACAATAGTTAGAGCCTATGTAAGTCTTTAATTGTTCAATCTAGAGTAGACTCGAATACTTCTGCCGCCTATCTCGCAGCTACTAACAATCAGGAGTCTTTGATATACGAACGTTTTGGAAGTTTCATTTAGCTAATAAATAAAAGCAGAGCATTTATTCGATTCAATGATTTTACTCATAAAACCTTATAAATGATAGTCTTTCAGAAGTTGAAATATTCACCAAGACATCTTTCCCTTTCGGTTCAACAAGTAATTCGATTTATCTCTCATGCTGGTTTTTTTCAAGCATTAAAATTGTGATGATTCGTGGATTGAATTCTTCCATGAGGGAGTGACTATTAGGAGAAGATCACGATTTCTTATAAAGTTTAATCAAAGACTTCTGAGATCGAGAAATCAAGTATATAATTTCGAAAAACTGATTATAGATTTGGATTCTTCGATCAAACTTTTATAAGAGATCGGAATTTGCTTCCAACAGCCATTTCTTGACGAACGAATCAAATCGAAGAATTTTTCATTACTCTATTATTCGGTAACTTCCCCTCGGTAGCAGTGATTGTAGAGTTCTCTCGTGTAGAAATCCTTTTTATTTTTGTAAAAGAAACATACTTTTAATAATACCATTCTCAGCTGGGCGGAGTCCGACCATCAAAAAGTGTTCCAACTTTACACTAACGATAAAACTGATCCCTGACCTGATATCTCATCTAATATGATAATCCAAATCTGTATAATAATGTATTGGAGTGTCGATAGAGAAAAATACTTCCGAATGTCAAATTAGTAACTATCATTTTCAATTTATGCGTTTAGTTTATTAGATCGTATAATCGCCAGGAGACTAGAGAAGGATGAGTTCGCTCTATCTCGAGCGAAAACTTTCGGATATCGTCACTATAAGAAACATGCTGAAGTCAATTATTAATCATCTTCAAAGGATAAAATAAATTTCTATTAACCTGCTTTTCGTCGAACTTCAACAATACGATCTTCTGTTTGTGTTAATATATCAGTATGTCTACGTCGCCATTCAAGATCATTTGTTTCAACAAGACGACGAAGATGATTATCTTTTTGTTGTAACATAAATAAAACTCGTTTTGCTTTTGTAACCATTTCAAGAATACAATTAAGCATCTAAATTTTAAATATAAAATAATTAAATAATTATTTTATTATTTCTCTTAAACAAAAATTAACCTACATTTTCGGCATTTCTCCAATCATCTTCAGTATTTTTACTACTATTATCTTTTGCATCAGATCCATATTCACGAAGATCTTTAATAAAAAAAAAGATTTCAATTCGATTGAAATCTAATCTTATATTTACATGCAGTAAATGCTCGTTCTTTTTCTCGAGTATCACGTCTTATTGATGTTGATGATATTATATTATTAGTTATAGTTGATGGAACTAATGAACGATGATTATTATTCAAACTAGCTGATGAACGTTTTGTTGTATAAGATCGTTCATCAAGTTCATGTGTACTAAAATATTTCACAACAAAAAAAAAATAATTTAACTGAATAAAAAAAAAGAAATTGATGATTTATACTCATCAGTTAATTTTCTTTTTATACTATCATTAATTTGTTCTTTTGAATTAGAAATCGATGGACTAGTACTTCTTTCAATCATATCACGAGGTAATAAGATAAATTCTTCATGTTGAGCAAGATATTGACTTGTTGATTGTTTAGATTGACGTGCTAATTGTGAAAGATCTTTTTGTAAAAGAGGTAATGTTGACTAAAATTTAAAAATAAAAAAAAAACAATTTTTTTTTTCCTCAGACATTTATTTTATTTTTGTCAAAAAGAGAAAACGAGATACTGGAGATGATCGCCTCTTCTATTCCGAAATATTTTTTTTTGATTTTTCTCAGTAGAAAACGCTCAAAAATGAGCCAATATGACCTCTAATTAGAGTTTGTCGGGTCAAAACTTTTAAGATTTTGGCCCTGTCTAACTGTACTTTGATACTCTTAATAAAATTTTCTAATTGGGAATTGGATAATCATCCCGAAGATACGAAATCAATTTCTTTTTGTATTTGGTGACTAGTGTGCTCTATTAGACGCCGTTCAACATTGCATTAGAACTATGAATAAGTCTCGATGAGACCAAGGAGAGCTTAGAAAGGATTCGTATCCATGACCTACTATTGAAAAATTATGACCGTTCTAATGAAATTTTTACTGAGGGTAAGGCATTATCTAAAAACTTTCGAGCTGAAATGATGTCTCAAGGTATGTTTGATAGTCATTAGATAATCCTGAAAATTTCAATGAAAATGAACATTCGTTCTATGATAAATCTCTATGTTTTTAGATATTGAATAATTCGAGAAAGACATATTCATTTTCGTTGAAATTTTCAAGACAATCTAATGATTATCAAATGTATCTATAGATATAATTTCAGCTCGAACTTTTTTATTTTGGATTTTTCGAATAGGTTTTGTTCTCAATAAAAATTTCATTAAAATCGCCATAGGCACGGGTTGTTTTAAGCTTTTCTCAGTTTTGTTGAGATCTACTCGTATCTTTAATACGAAATCGAACGACATCTGACAGTTGTATATGTTCCTTCGTCAGATAAGTAGAGTCTGTCAAGTCCAAAATTTTCAGACTCAGATCTGTCACTGTTAGAATAATAACCACAAAAACAGCCGATCTTGAGCCAGGTGCATAAAACTTTCAGACTATGACAAAATTTCGAGGTTTATATCATAATGTTTTCAAGAGATGTTTAACCAATAAGAACTAAAAACAACACATTTAGCAATCAGAAATTCTCTGTCAACTTTCATTCTATAAATTTAATTTCTTTTCTATTTAAAAGAATATGTCATACTACAACATCTGGCAGAGCTTTTTTCTTTTAAATTCTTACTTTTTATGCAAAGATAAAACATGATAGATGCAATACCTTGAAAAGCTCTCAAAAAAAAAATCATATATTCACCGAAGTGTTTTTTACATAATAATAATAAAAAGAGCTTAATTCTAAAAATAGACATTTCAGATTCACATATTCTCTCAAATACAAGCAGAAAAAAAACCAATTGACTACAATGAAAATTCCTTCGAAGAATTCTAAGAAAAAGTATAAACAGAGAAAATTATCAAGCATTGACTGTTTTTTTTGTGTTTTGCGCAAGGGGACCTTCAATTGAAAATCAAACACAGTTCAGGTTAAAAAGTTTGAAATATTGAGCTAAAGCTTTTTCATACATCTGGTGCCTTCATTCTTAAACAAACAAAAAAAGAAAAACCAGCTCGTATAAAAAAAAAAAAATCTGTATTGAATCAAATACATCAATTATTTCCGTACTTATTATGCTTATGTAAGTTAACAGCTTGATACAACAAAAGAAAAAAAACATATACCCCTTCAATGTTTTTTTCAACTATCTCGTACACGTTTTCAATATTAATATTACCTTTAAAAATGGTAATGCAAATGGTCGTAATGGAAAACTAGTTGTGAATTGTACTTTACCATGAAATTCTTCAACAGATAATGCATTATTCTAAATCAAAACAAAATAAAACATCATTTGATAGAAAATTTTGAATACAATATTTAATTTCACTTTCATGCTTTTTTTTCTTTTCTTTTTATTTTAAAATTATTTCTATGTTTTACTGTCCCAGACATTCGAATTTAAAAGGGAAACAAAATAAACATCATCTGGCCTTGTTCTCATTTGAAAATTAAATCTTATATATATAAGTATCAATTTTCAAAAAAATAACTTACAATTAAAGCTAATATTAATGCTCGAACACGTTCTCCTATTTCATTTGATATATCCGATCCAAAATAATATAATGTACTAAGAAATCGTTTTAATTTATTTAATTGTCTTGATGTTGATTGTAATGGAGAATTTGATTGAATAGGTGTTGATGTTTGAATATGATTCGATGATGATAATGATGATCCACTGTTACTTGTTGTTATTAATGTAGTTGTATTTGATATAGATGTATTCATTGATGGTACAACTACTGTTGTAGTTGATGATGAAATTGGACTTTCGTTTGAATTAGTTGGCATAGATGATCTGAAGGAGGAAAAAAAAAACGAGAAAAGAAAAAAAAAAAAACCCCAAGAAAAATACTCGGTGAACAGGCAACAGATTGTACCATTTTAACTTGCAATATGGTGTCATGGCAGCATGCACATAGTAAAAGAGAAAGACAAGTAAGATGAAGAATGGAAATAACAATGTATGCACCAACCGTTTCACGTATGTGCGCAGTAGCAATTGTCATCATCTTTCTTTCTTCTTTTACTTTTAGTTAACTCTTCATCATTAATAGCTATCACTGACCGTACAAGCTGTTGCCAGTCACAAGGATAAAAAGATGTAAAGAAAAATAAAAAAAAAGGAAATGTGTCATTTATATATGAACCAGAGAAAGATCTGGTCTTTGTTCGTTTTCTCAAAAAAAAAACAAAAAAACTTCATTGATATATTTTCGTCTTGATAGAATATTTATTAATCTATCTCTATTTTGAAAAATACTTAACATATACAAAATATTTGTGCTAGAAAAAAAAAACAAAACATTCGTCTATTATCATACTTCAACTTGATTTACCTGATTTTTATCATACAAAATGAATAGAAAAACGACAGAAATAAATCCAGATGGTCGCCAATTTTTTTTTTTTTTGAACTTGAGACCAAAAAGAAAAGACATAAACGACCTATCGCATGAAATATCTTATTTTTTTCTGAGAGTGATTACCATCTGTCATATACATTCCTGATGATACAACAAGTAGCGGACTGTATTCGATCTTGCAGCTGATTTAATTCTCAAACTTTACATACATATATATATATATATATAATAAGTGCAAGTAAGAAAAAAAAACGAACAGAAAGAAGAAAATAACATAGGCAATATGTTTGTAGTAAAAGCAACTGTGCAGATTTGCACGTTAGCCAGAGAATTCTTGTTCGTCAAAGTGTAATGATATGCAGATGATAGACATTTTACTGGTCTGCCAGATGGTTTAGATTATTTTTCTTGTCTAAAGAACACACAAAAAAAAGGGAGCATTGTTTCATGGCCATCTGTTCATTAGAAACTGATCAAGGTTGCTAAACAATCCTACTCATTAAATATATCACATCAAATATTTATTTTCTTCGCATCAAATGCTTTCTAGGTTTTTTTCTTGCCATAAAAAAAAAAACAAAAAAAATTCAATCAATATTTTTTTCCAGTAAAAAAGAGTCAATTAGAATTAAGTATTTTTTTTTTCTTCTTCATTCTTAATCATGCTAATCCAAATGTAGAAAACAAGAACAACATAAGAAAAAACATCTGTAAAACTAACAATATCAATGTATCTCTAATCGATAATAACAAGAAGTAGATATATATATTATTTGTTTTTTTTGTCTATTCTTCATTTCTGTATGCATATACACATAAAACTGTTATATGAAGATTGATTTTTCTCCACTCTTCTTTTTGTTTTGTTCAATGGATACAGAAGAAAGACACGAACTGAGCACACAATTGAAGCAATAACATACACACAGCAATAAAGAGAAAAAAAAAAGAAAAAGAATCTATTTGGATGGACTAGAAAGCGCGAATAGGCATTGGTTTATTTGTTTTAAATGATACTTGTAATACACGATTACCAAGTGTAAAACCATTAAGTGAATTAATAGCCATTAATGCTTCATCATAATTAGTCATTGTTACAAAACCAAAACCTTTACATTTTTGTGTTTGAAAATCACGTATTATTTTAACATTTTGTACAGCACCAAATGGTCCAAATAATTGCCATAACATATTTTCTTCTGTTTCAGGTGCCAAATTATAAACAAATATACACCAACCAACAGATGTAATATCTTAAAAATTAATCATTTTATTTTTTTTGTTTCGTTTTAGATAATATTCATAATTTTACATACCAGTTGATGATGTTAATGTTGTAGTTGATGCAGCAGTAGGTAAATAAGAAGCTGTAGCTGCAGCAGCAAAAAAATCAGCGGGTGATAATGGTGAATATCTATATAAAAAAATAACAAAAAAATTTCATTAATCAAACATTCAGATATAAATAGAAAGATACTGAATAATAATAATAATAATAATAACAACTAAATTATAACAATACACTCACCGATATTTTGATCGTTCATGTGTTTCTCTATGCAAAATAATGCAAATAATAAACAAAAAAATAAAAATAAAAAACAAAGAGCAGAAAAAAAAACTAAAATATTTCCCACTAAAAAATAAAATATTTTAATCGAGCAGCATACCTGTACCTATTCAATTGTTGACGAATAGGTGGTACAGTAGTAAGTACAGGTTGTTGTGGTGTTGGAATACTAGATAAATAGGATGGTGCTAATGGTAAACCAATCATAGATTTAACAGCATTTGGCGTATTAGCAAATTTAACAGTTATTGGATCAGTAAAACCTACAAAGAAAGATATTCTATGATTAACAAACAAGAATTTTATCATATATAAACATTTCTAATTTTCTAGTAAGGATTCTATGTATGAACTCTATCAGTGTAAATATATCTACGTGGGCTTCTGATCGGACTATTAGTAGGACTAGCAAAAATCTAAAAGGATTCATCCCCATTGACTTTCAAATTTTGTCTATAGATAGGTCTACTGATCTACAAAAGTTTCAGCCGAATAGAATGTTCCTTGGTCGAGATATTCAGTTTTTTATAACATGCCTGTAGTAAGCGATTTTTTTCGAAAGTTTGATATTTCAACAGAAAAATATTCATTTCGGATATTCTACCAATCATTGGGACTATCTATAAACAAAATTTCATGTCGCAATATTATGTTTTTGATTTTTTGGTATGTACCGAAGAAAAAATAGCGAAGTGCCTGTTGTTTCCCCGTTTGTCTGTCACTGAGTCCAATATTCAGTTAACTGAAGGCAAACCTTTTTTTTTAGATTTCTGCTAGTCTCACCAAAATGTTCTTGTAGATTACACATTGTAGACCAGAAAATTTTGGACCCGATGGGTTCTATTGTTATGAGCTCAAACGGTGGGTATCAGTACGAGTAAATAGTACAATCAGAAGAGTAAATTTTCGAACTGAAATGAAGGTTTATTTACATACCTTTTGGAATGGTACCATTAAGTTTACTAATAGCCACTTCGGCTTCTGTTCGTTGATCAAAACGAATAAATCCAACACTTTTTGATGCACCTTAAGAAGAAAAAAAATTATTTTAAAATTATATTAAAAAAGAAAAAGAGAGCTGAGCAATGGCATTTCTCTTTCCCGGGAAAATCTATCTATAAATTTAATAGTGCACATAAAAATAATATATATATATATACATATATAAAACATCGAAAAAAAAAAAAGAAAATTCTACCTGCTTTAGGGTTGCAAAGAATTTTCGACGAAATAATACAACCAAAATCAGCAAACAAACTCTCGAGCTCCGACTGAGTCATCGAACGTGGGAGATTTGAAATGTAAAGATTGGAAAATTTGATTGACTCCGAAGAGGGACGAGCAAAAGAAACCTGAAATAAATAAAATAACACAAAAACAAAAACAAACCAATAAAATTATATTGAAAAACAAAAAAAAAAAAAAAACTAATATAAACAATAAGCAGCGGGTATATGAAAACACTTTGTTCTATTCTTATTTTCTTAATATTGCGGCAAAAAAAAAATTGAAATGAGAGCGCCGGAAAATAAAACCTGTATTTGAATCCGTTAAAATTCGACTCGTAATTATTTTGCCACATGAAGTAAAACAGGCTTCAAGCTCTTTGGTTGTCCACTGTTTTGGAATACCGCATATATATAAATTGGCAAATTTGATTGAGTCCGATGACGGACGCGCAAAAGATACCTGCAGTAAGAGTTTCTTTTCTTTTTGTCTTTCTCAATATGTATATGTATGTATATATTAGGTTTATATTTTGACAAATAATTTACACTTAGCGAAATTGTATTAAAATAAATATGAAATTTTCTTTTTGTTTTGATTAATGAAACTTTAAGAAAGAAATTTTATTATTTACTTTAATTGTTTTATTTTGTAATCGAAGACCATTCATTGTTTTAACGGCTTTTTCAGCATCTTCTATACGAATAAAATTAACAAAACCATAACCAAGACTTTGACCTAAAAATAAATTAAACAATTTTTTATTGTCAAATCAAATTTTCAATTTCATATAAGTCTATCATCCCATAGATAATAAATATTTTCTACTTTTTCCATAGCAATAAAGTACGATGAATCTGTCGTATGAACGAAATCTTCCAACTGATTATTGACTTTTTGAGTAGGAATTGAGTGCGTCTTGTAAACCTTAGTCAGCTTATTGTAGCGAAGATATTGTACTTTTCAAACTTCATACCATGATTCTCCTCAAAATCACTAGAAAAAATCTAATTTTTAAATTTCAACTTGCAATGATACACAGAGGTAGACCTTAAATACAAGAGTATTTTATTAAGTCTTTTAACTTGTTCCTATCCTAAAATAAGAACATCGGAATGTATCAATGTATATATGAACAATGTAAAAGATATACTTTTATCGTAGCTGTATCTTTAGACTGAAAAGGAGTTTTTTTTCTGGTGTTTCTGAGGGAGACTATGGTATTCATTTAAAGAAAAAAATATCCATACAAAATGTATTGTCATAACAGTAATTAGCTAAAGATTTGAATTCTCTCTCAGAATATTCAAAGCTTATTTGGATCTACACGTAGTTCAAATTGAAAAGCGATTAATCAGTTGGGGGATTTCCTTTTGTTAGTCGTTCATATTCAAAATTTCAATCGGAAATGAATTAATTCTGCATAATTCAAGTCTTTATACTAGTAATCAATAATTTTTTTTTAAACAAAGATAGTTGCAAATTTGATTTAAATTTCCCAAAAGAATTAAATTGGGTGTATTTCTGATAAGAATAAAATATTGATTTTGTTTGATTATTAGAAATTATACATATTAATATGCACGTTTAACTTTTCATACTTCATTTGATCTATTTTTTATTTTGTT